GGGGTGACCAGACTGTCTCAGTGACTCTGCTCTCCTCTCTCACAGGGGCTCAGTGAGTCAGGAAGGTGTTGAGTATGATCGTGGGAAATGTGCCATAGGAATCCGGATTCCGAACAGGATCTCTTTTTCTGCAGCTGTGTGCACGAAACCTTATCGCTGGATCTGTGAGGGGGAGTCTGGGAAAGTGTGGCTGCCTCCGCAGTCTGCGATCAGGACCTGAGGGAGACTGGAGAAGTTCATGAGAGACTGTGTGCCCGAGTTAGTGAAATTGTGTGAATGGGAAGCATCTGTAGGGACTCCTGTTTCTCAGTTTGGTGCTGAGCCTCACTGTGCATCTCCTGTTCCCACTCTCTACTGGCCGAAAGAACTAAGAGTTCAGTCAGAACCTTCACCAGAAGAAGGTACCACATCTATTAACATTTCTGTGCCTCTTCCTAAATCTTAATAACCTGATCAGCCTGGTTTTCGAGTAAAAGCACCAACAATCATCTAAAAACACTGAAACATTTTTTTACTAATGGACAAAACACAGATGCACGGGCTGTGACTATATACAGTACTATGTGTGTGATTACCAAGCATTCCAATGAGCCCCGAAATAAAACATTGCAATCAGTGAAAGAGTGGTCACTGTTTTGAACTGAGTGGTGATCAGAATGGTCAGTGGTGACTCATCAATACAGAAATATCTCAGAGGGTAGATGGAGTTGGACTAATCAGTAACTGTGGCTGGATGCCATCTTTATCTCAGCTGATTGCAGCACAATTACTTGTAAAAGTCCCTATTGACATAGATTTCTCCTCTCCAGGCTTGGTGTGTTTCGGTTCATTACCAACCACAAGTGCTTCAAGATAAATACAAAGGAATCGACACAGAAATCAAAAACCATTGATGCGCAACAGTATTGGTTAACAGTGTGATGTAGGGTGATGTAAATTATTTAAACAATAAGCTTGTGGTGTCAGTGACTGAGTCAGTGCATTTAAACTCTGAATTCACACAACAGTGCAGCGATAACCACAGACACGCATTTCAATATAAAATCTTCCTCAAAGAACCTGATTCACCTTTCTAAATTCATTGGAGTCATAATGCGTAACTCTTTCAAAAATTGAAATTTGCAAACTACCCTGCAGTTTATAATAACCCGTCATTTAAATGTATGTAACGCTTCCAAAAGCATAGACTTCATGTTTGCTTTGAATAAAAGACTAAAATAAATAAGTATAGAAATGTCATTTCAAGAAGCGCAGTGCTCTCTATACATGTGGTCATAAGGGGTGGAGGCGGTGACTGATCATGTGATCTCTGAAGACGATGAAGA